CTTTTATCCACTTTCTTCCCCCACTGTTTGAGGGACATCTACAAAATAAGTCTTATACAAAATCGCTAATATTTCTGACAAAGATAAAGCAGTGGTATTGCACAAGTGTTAAATTTCGGAGTAAACAGAAGATGCTGAAAATGCCTGATTCTCTAACGTCAGCCTGTGCAAACAGGAACGGGCAAAGAGGAACAGTTCCTTCGTACGTGTTTGGTAATGATAAAACAAGTCTTCCTTATTTTTAGAGTCAGGGTATTTCAGGAAATAACTGTATGAATTGTCAATTTGTAACCATATCAAAATTTTTCATTTAACCAGAGTTCTGAAAAACACAGAATTTCTGCTTCCCCCCCGCCATATACAGGCGCACCTCTTATTTTGCATATACGGAACACTAAACTGCAACAAAAGCTAGAAACTTCACTCTGAACACAGCTAAATTTGGTAGGACAGAATTTTTATCACCTTGGCATCTGGAACAGCGAAACAAGATACACGGTACAGTTTATTTGCTCCTGGGAAACTTACGGACCTGCAGATAACCAAAACTCAGAGCCCCATGAAATTTATCTCCGGGATCCACTTCACTCAAACCAGCACCTTCTCTGAGACAAATCTCAAAAGAAATAAAATTACTCTCATAGCATCTCTTAAATTAGAGGTACAAGTGCTTTCCTGAATCGCCAAAGAAATCCAAATTCTTATCTTCACAACAGGCACGTTAAAACTAAGCACTGCTACCTGACATTTCAAAGGAACATAACACTCTTTATAAAATACTTTAAGTCAGTTGTATGAACCAGAAGCTGTGCTATGCTCTCCGCAGTAACATACCATAGTTCCTCTCTTACGTTCTGTGTTTCTGAAGAATAGCAGTTTCATTTGTGATCTATCCCATGAAAAAGATGATCAACCTATGCATGCCTTACACGTATTTTACCAGATGTTGGCCAATTTGAAACTCCTTGGCCAAAGCACTTCAGAATGGTGTCTTCCTAAGAGCCAAGTGATGAATGGTTAAATAATTTCACCTCGTATCTACTTTCTAAAAATAGTATGTAAAAATTAATGAGCTGGTTTTTTTTCTTTTCAGTTTTAGTCTGAACAGTTTGGATTTTGTTGACCTCATATCCTTATTACTAATACACATTTATTCTCCAACATAGAAACAATAGCAAACACCAGAGCAATTCTGAACTCCTCTCCGAAGAGGAAGAATAATAACGTCACCACCATAAAATAGCTTCAGTCTTCCTGGACTTCTACCACATAGACAGGGGATCAAAGATGCACAAGTCAGACAAACGAATTTTCCATGCCAGCCTCATATCTGACTCTGACTACTTATCAAAGCGAGGAGCAAGGACAAAAAACAGTCCATTAATATTTTCCAAACTCAGACGTTCAACCCAACAAATGCGAACATTTTCTAAATGTGATGAAGTGTTCTTGGCAATTTAACTGATGAAGTAAATGAGACAAAAGTGACTGACCCGTCACAGAGAGCACCGGAGCCGGTCAGAATCAGCATGCAGAATTCCAACTTGCAAAGCCACAAGCGTGGCATGAGTTACCAGGTTTCCATGCCAAAACTGTCACAAATGGCTCCAGCTCTACCCAAATGGTGTCCTGCCACCCTCCCCAGTGCCTCTAGCAGCACCCAGAAACAGGTACTTCAGAGAAAAGTGCAGGAAACAAGTAAAGCGCAAGTGTGGAGTAACTCATCTCCTGAGCACTTTTCCATTAGTCTTAATAGCTTGAGTTTCGGTTTAGTTTAGTAGATTTTTGTTAGATTTGAAAACATTCCAGACCTTTCTTACCCTTACGCTAACTCTAAATACATTTATCTGTGGCCAGTTCCAATTAAATCTAACACCTTACAGTCCTTCTGTATACGCTTTCGAGTTTTTATTAACTTTGATTATTTTGTGGCGTATTTATCAACTGCTAAACTTCGCACCTGAACGGACTAAATCCTGCTATGCTATTTGAGACGACAAAGAATACAAAGTCACTCTTTCTATAATTCTGTGAGCAACATCAAGAGCACTATATCTCACTGAGCTTCACTGCCTCGTTTTTCCACGCAGCCAGACCTAGTATCAACGTTGTGAAGCGAGTCATTCTACAAAGTCATGCCTACTAAAGACAAAACACAAGTTCAAATACCAACACTCAAAATCTTGCGCATGCGCGACCTTACTATAATAACCAACATATTTTCCTATATTTAAAGAATTGCATACATGTTTGCAAATGAGACTACAACCTCTAACTCACATCTCAGAAGGGAAGGAAATGTCTTTTGGGTAAAGAAACCTTATTACAGAGTAGCAAGTTTGCCATTAGTCTTAAGGAAACAGTAATCAATATCGAGCAGCAGTTAGATTTCAGAACTACATTTTTGTAACAGCACAACTTAAAATTTCAATTGCTGCACCTCTAAAAATTGTAGAAATTAATGCAGTATATTATTAAACAAACTGTACATACAGGTGGAAGAAAATGCGCAAGCCAGTGATTCGTAAGAAAAAACAGGTAGATAAAAGGATCACTGAGCCCCTGGTGTGAGATGAGGCTATGATCAGTCTGTCGCTTCTTAGGATGGGATGCTGCTAGAAATTCAGCATTACCTGTGCAGGAACAGAAAACTGCATTCTCATCTTGACCTACAGAGTAACCGGCAATACATCACCCATAACACTGAACGTGCTCCCAGTTGTACGCTTGAAAAATGTTTTTTTAAAGAATTTGTGATCTTTCTCCAGCTAAGACACTCATATAATCGCAGCACCATGCAGCTGGAAAGGGAATTCTGGAGGTCTCTAGTCCAACCCCCGCCCACTGCAGGGCCCATTAGAGCAGGTTCCTCAGGCCTTGTCCAGGCGGGATTTCAAGTACCTCCAATGACGCAGATACCACAATCCCTCCAGGAAACCAGGTGTTGGACCATCCTCAAGGTAAAAAACCATGGGTTTATATCAGTTCTGCAATGTTTTGTCTTCCAACTTGTCCCCGTTGCCCCTCATTTTTCCTCTACGCACTTTCGAGCCGGGTTTGGCTCCATCTCCTTTGCCGCTTCCCACCAGCTGCTTGTAGACAGCGATAAGTCTCCCCTATCTCTTTGCAAGGCCATCTCTTAAGGGGCTGAACAAAAATACAATTCTCTTAACATGTCGCGGGCTCCAGCCTCCTGACCGTCTCAGCAGCCTCCACTGGCTCTGCTCCAGTACATCAATGTGTTGTACTGGGGAGCCCAGAACCAGACGGGGCATCCAGATGCGGCCTCAATACTGCCAGGGAGTAACAACTTCCCTTCAGCTGCCCCCTGCGCTCTTGCTAGTACAGCCCAGTAGACAGTTGCTCCCCTCCTGCAACAACCAGGCACCTCAGGAGAACGCAGGATTTCACTTTCACCTCAGCACCTTACCAGGCCATTGCCAGGACCCGACTCTTCATAGAAACGCTCCCAGATCAGGATACCGACCTGCTTTTATCCTGCCACCAGCCGACTATGTTGTTCTACAGCGAGAAACCAAGCCCAACTGCTACTGCTGTCATTCAATCCTGTCTGACGGGTAGACTGCAGTCTGACAAACCGTATGGCAATACTAAATGCAAACAAAATGCAGTAAGAAAACAGAATTTGTATGAATTTTTTTAGGCTTCTGAAGCAAGTGTCAGAGAATATATCATGCATTCCCCTAGCGCAAATACATTCACTAAAAGACAATTTCAAGTATGATATCAGGACTGAGAAGTAGGAACAGTCAGTTTCAAACAACATTTCTGAAAAAACATCCCTGCCCTATCTACACACCAAACCTTCATAAACTCCTTCAATCCCTTCTTTTGCTCAGGGCGACAGGAAATAAACTAACAAAAGAAATAAAGAAAAGACTACAGATTCTTTCCACCGCAACAAAGGCATGTGACTGTTGGCTTGTTACTGTTGTCTACATCTGCCTAGTATCCCGCCTGCCTCTCCCTTTCCCAGAGCTAAATAGCTTTCTCTAATGACAAAAACCCAGTTATTTTAAAAATCACTTCCTATTATTAAAGATTAACGAGCACTAACTTCAACAGTTAAAAAATGAATCATCCTGACTCTGCACTATGACAACCATCTGAGAGCAAAGAATACAAGCAACGCTTTGCCCCCTCTCCCGATTTCTGCTTCTCTAACGAAAAAAGATGACCTTTTACGAGACCGGACTTGCACAGACTTCTGGGCAAAGGGACATCCGCATGCAGAAGTTTCACAACAGTGTATGTCTGGTGACTTAAGAGGTATGCAGAGCAAGGCGAGATGTGAATCTGAACACCCTTGCAGGAAGCGCCCACATGTAATGACACCGATGTTTACAGGAAAAAAATACCAAACACACAAATGTATTTGCACTTGACCTTTAAGACTTACATTAAAAAGGATCTGATACACAGTTGAATTAAATATTTGGTTTCTTATCATCATTCATTCATTTTCAAGGTGCTACCTGCCTCATTTTAGCATATACAGACAAAATGCCGTCACTCAACAGCTGATCACCAGAAACGATTAAAGAAATTTGCCCTCCTAACTCCAAATCTAATGCACAAGAGACTGACAACGACCTAGTTTACTTTGCACTTACAGGAAATCAGCTGTCAGAACGGTTACAAAGACTATCACGTGAATCATCGGGAATACCTGATTACCCATCAATCTGCACCAGTGTCTTAAATAAACCCGTAACTATAGCATCAGTTCTTCTAGCTTTTTCGCTCGCCCTGAAACTTGTTGCTCTCTAGCCCATAGGTCAGATCAGCTTCACTACAAGGCACCAGCCTAGATCAGTCACAGTTTTATTTAATATTAATCTGCACAATTCCTGACAATACTTCAGGAATGTGCTGGTTTTGGCTGGGGTACTGGACTATTCTAATTGCAAAACAACCACTTTTGAAACAAAACTTCCCAAAAAACATACATTTGTGCTGAACAATCATTCTTTATGGCCAGACAGTCAATCCTTTATTTGGAAAATAAATATAATTCCCGCTGCAACATTTTACAGTAAGTAAGTACATCTCAATAAAACAGCACTACTTAATCACCCACGCAACATTTGTGGGACAGCTCTTCAAAAAAATGACGTCATTTCTTAAAACTGTATTTGGTAGTCAAGGCAGACACAATATCCCTGTAAGGAGTATCCGAGTCAGATTTGGTCCTCGGTAAGCAACACAGTCGACGAAAGGTCGGAGAACGCAGCAACAGGTTGTGCGAGAGTCCCATGAAGCTCGAGGACAGCCAGTACAACGCCATGGACTGCAACGAGACAAATACCGAGTTCAGCCTCCCTAAATGCAATGAAAACACTACAATTTTAGACAGCTCTTCACGAACCACAACACTGGTAACTCCCAGTTATCGAGAAAAATAACTCACCTAAAACCACTCCTCTCAATAACAATAATGGCTTCCATTTCAAATGTATTTGTCACTCTTTCTCAACTCCTCTGGGAAAGATTCATATATGCTGAAGTTTGACAACAGTTCATAAATTAATTCATCTTAAACTTGCTTTAACTTCTGTTTTTCAGACTGTAAGTTGATGAGCCAAAAACTTTGGTTTTGCTAAACAAAAGCTGCAAAAATATTCAGAAGTAAAACACCTGGTGAAAATGAAAAGTGTTTTAAGAAGATGGTGGAAAATTTCCTAATTTATAACTACGCTGTTTTCCTCTTACAGTAAGCAAACACTTAGCAAACCTTTGTCTATATATCCTTTATAAAGTTTTCCTCTCATTTTTGAGATCACAAAAAGGATGCTAAGCCGCTCTGAATGTTCTTCCAAGCCGTAGTTTGCGAAAATGATGTTTAGAAACAGTAACTTTGCAGATTCTTCCCTCTTGGACAAAAATGTTTTAAGAATTTAAACGTACACGTCGAGAAAACATCTTATTTGTTTTAGGGCACGCTGTATTAGAGAGTATGCTCCATTAAATACACCAGGCATCTGGGCTGCTCTTTAAGCATTAGGAACTACCAGAGTCACAGGCTAACAGACACACCATTAAGACTTTGTACTTACAGAGGGAACTGACGCAGCAACAGGTATCATCACTACTGACACCACTCGAAAGAAATTTGTAGCAAGCTTCTGCAACCTGGAAACTTCCATTTTTTGCGAAGCAAAGATCTGAAAGGGTTGAAATCCAGAGTTATAAACAAGTAGTTCTTTTTGAAACAACTAAAATGAGAAAAAAGGCACGTATTACTTTGATTTTGTATCCTCCATTTCCATTAATATACTGCTACAATCTTTCATTTAACTTGTTTGCTGTTTTACACGTTCAGTCCTCTGTAAAAAATAATTTCAAGGTAACATAATTTTACATAGTCACTTCTGCACAACTAGAAGTTCTAATGCCTCAGTCCGAAGCGCGGCCCTCTGAGAAAAGGCTGCCAACAGGAAACAGACCAAAACCGGTTGATACGTAACTGAACAGCAGCAGAATCAGGTCCACGGTCCCATACTGACTTTTTTTCTCTAAGACAGTCTCACTCCACATGACATAGAAGAAAAAGGATTAAGAATGAAATCCAGATGATTAGAGTTTGATGAGAACACCTAACTGAAGAATTAAGAAAAAAATATTTCCATTAAATTACCCTCAAAAACGGGAAATGAAGACTCTTTTTCTTTTTTCTGTTTCTGTTGATTAAACTCCCCAGCAATCTTAAAAAGCTCTGGATTTTTTCAATTTATTAAGAACACATAATATTCTTAGTTTTGACCACAAGGCAGTAACAAGTAATTGGGGTGAGGGGTGTAGAACAAACCAAAAAACGCCACATGGGCTTTTGGATGCTTGACACACATGAAGCTCACTAGAACATCATTCTAAGAGAAACTTCAGAGTCGAGACTAAGTTTTACTGAGGCTCAAGTAAAGCCAATAAAGTATCGGAGACACGTCACATCAGGATTTGTCATCTCTAAACAAGACACCCACGCATTCAAATGCATAGAACAATTAAGTTATTTTTCAGTTCTGCCCAATGCATTTAAAGCAGTGATAATCTGAAACTACCCTTACGTTACCATGTTTTTGTAACCGGGTAATACTGTCTCACAATTCTATAAAAATAATTATCCTTTTGCAATCATCCTATTTATTCCACCAACGTACCTCAACTATCAGCAAATTCATGAGCCCAAGCGAAACTGGCAAAATCCACGTAGAATCTGGTGCCGTGAGGTCTGTAAACCACAACGCTCCGCCTGCTGAAAACTGTTCTTGAACTACAAGAACAGCGTAAAGAAAATACGGCAGTAAGTATGATTTGCTACCTCAAGTTAGTCAGAACCGTACCACGTATTACTATCAAATCATCCAAGTTTCTAGATACATTTTATCTACACGATAAATACTATTTACAGCAGAAATCTTTGGTTTCACAGATCAAGTCAAGGCAGTCTGCTATCAATTCAAGTGAAAAACGGAAGGAGATACAAGCTGAGACGCAGCTTAGCTCGTGACAGCCACTGATTCAGGCAAACCTGCGATAAAAACTAGCTTGATCTCAACACCATTTTACCAGCCAACGAGGAAAATATGCAATGCAGTAACCTACAGTGACTACGTATTTTTTGCTTTTGAAATAATTATATTTTTCTTAGTAACTGCATAACTTGTTACATTTTTGTTCAGAAGAACAAACTATAAGCTCTTTTCTAAAAAATCAAAATATCAGTATTTTTATTTAAAAAACCCCACACATTCACCCTGTCTATAGTACCTCATGTGAAACTTCACACGGAAGAAAAAAATACAGATTAATAGTGAACGTCCTGCGGCACGGGCAATGTTACTTGCTAAACACGCTTATCTTGTGAAGCAAAAAAATCACAAGACAAATTTTTTTTTTTCTAGTAACCCTATCTTCAGAAGACCACAAAACTATTAAAGGCTCACAAGGCCTAACAAAATGCCTGCCACCGTTCCCAGAGCTTACACCTTGACACTGCTTTTAAAGAGGCATCCCACAAAGCTCACAACACTGTTACAAACGATGAGTGTATAAGCAGAGATCAGTGACCTTCTGGATGCTGCAAATACCTGCCGGAAGAGTTCAAACCAAAGAAAAGTACAGGTGTGCTCCAGACACGAGTTCTTTGGCTCTATGAACTGTGGTTTAATCTAGTACAACATGTACAATGTACCTATTCTAAGTCTTCGTAATTAATTTTTTTTTTTTATCAGATATTTATCTGTGCTTAAACTATATTAAGTTTAAAAACTTAGCAGTGGAGTAGTTTTCGTAGCAGCTTATATGTCAAGCTCAGGAGATTGTGTTCTTTAACCAATGAAGCATCTGTAAAAACAGTAATGGAATGAAAAATGACTGTTAAGAGTGTGTCTGTTCAGATTCATCACCTTCCAAGTCCGTGGCACCAACGCTGCAGTTGCGCAAAGCGAGGGACACGCAAACCCACATTGGAATCTGTACCCACACCAGTAAAGTGGCTTTGAAGGGATGGCAGTTGTCTCGAATGTACAGTTCCGTAATAATCCTCCGCAGGTTTTTCTTAAAGTGGAACCTGTTAGAAAGAAAACAAACAAACCCTCTCACAATAGCTGTTACAGAGTAACTTCTCAAATTCCAGAATAACAATTCTATAGGCTGTGCATGTCAAATTGGCTTCTTTAGGTGCAACTCTGGAAAACCTGAAAGACTCTCCTCTTCAGAGATGCCTCTCTCCTTTCCAGCCCCTTCCCTTCACAACTTTTAGCCCTGTTGCTAGAAGCAGCTTTTCACAACAAAATTTCCTATCGTCATTAGCAGCTACGAGCAACTTTTTTTTTATGAAATTTTATTTCACAGTGCTTTTTGTCTAAACTAGGGTCTAACTTTCTCAATACAGAGGCAATCAGCCAGATACGTGATCGTGCTGCTGCACGGGGTACAACCGAACAGGACGACAACCATTCAAGCCTCAAGTTCCAGCAATATTTAGATACCATAACAGCTAAGGAAACTTTAGCCACAAGTAAAGACAACAAAAACAATCCTGGATTTGGCCCTGTAATCATAAGCCAATCACAAGTTCAGAGCTTTAAAATGAATATACACTGAAAGACAATATTATAAACACAAATAAGTCACACAAGTGGCAAGAAAATTTAAGGTTTGGACAACAACAGAATCCTTCTGCAAGACTGTTGTTTGTAGGACTTTCCCTCCCACTACCCCTCAATCCGGAATGGATTTATAAGGTACATACAATCGCCATCTTACCTGGCCACCTTTTCAGACCAACCCAGCTGCTTTCCACGAACAGAAACTTCATAGCGAAGACGCTCAGCTAGTTGTTTAATCTCAGGCTGCAAATTTTCCAACTAGCTAAAGAAAAGGAAAAATGTTTATGCACAATTACATCTAACAACCACTTCCTCTTCCCACCTGAAACAGTACAGACATTGAAAGTGACTGTGAAGGACAAGGCACACATCTGCGAACACCTTTTATCTTTAAACAAAATGAACACGTGAAGATACTAGTGAGAAGTATTTACACTAACAAGCAGAGATACTATGTTACTACTAGAAGAAATAAATACAGTTTTAGAGTTCATATTTTCTTCTCAAGAAGCATCTTTTTGTCTTCATTCAAGAATTCTGACCAGCTACTTCACTTAACAAAAACACATTTAATGCCACTTCAAAAAGATTTAAAGCCCAGCAAGCCACACAACTTTGCAGTCACCGAAGTCACGACCCTGAGGAATAAGAAGAGACCCCACTATGCAAGAGTACAATACGAAACTCACTTTTGCAATCAAAAGAACGGGAAAAATGAACAATCGTTACTGTAAAAAGCAAAACAAACAAACAAACAAACAACCCCCCCACCCCAAACATGCCTCAACAAAATAATTAAATTATGCTTCTGCAGTAACCCACTCTGAATGACGGTCACTGAAGAACCCCGTCCAAGAAACACACCTGCATTTACCAGTCTGACCTTTACACAGGCGAAGAACAAAGATCCAATTGATTCCAAATCAGATTTGAGTTCCAGCAGCTGTGAAGCACCACGCTAAAGCCGTCCTTAGTTGGTAAAGACACAGCACACAAAAGGAGAAACGCTCTACTTCACGCGACAGCACTGCAAAGGCTCCCTTACCCCTGCAGGCACAGCATATAACCTCTTCACTAACTTCAAGCCTTTTACTCACTTTTGACCAAAATCAGGTATTTAGAAACTGCCATAGGCTAGTTTATTTCAAGTTTTTATTGGAGCAGCTTTAGCAAGAGCTTCGTTAAGCCGACATATCACAGAAAGCGCCTTGCACACGCCATCTGACGCTGAGACTAGAACAACTAGATCTCCGTGTAGCTACCGTGAAAAAGCACATTCCCATTTTCCAGTTTTATTTACACTTCACGTGTTCAAAGAAAGACCAACGCCGGCTTATAACCACAGGAAAAAAAAAAAAGTATTTACTCTGTTGTAAAATCCCCCCCCACACCAGGAACTACAGCCCCGTCCGCCGCAAAGCCCACAGGGAAGCCCGCCGGGAGGGGCCCCCAGTCCCTCCCTCGCACAGCGAGGGGGCCCGGGGCCAGGGCGGCCCCCGCAGGCTGCCCTCAGGAGGCAGGGCCGGCGCCCGGGAACCC